GAAGTGGGCGTTTGCTGCGAAGTGGGCGTTTGCTGCGAAGTGGGCGTTTGCTGCGAAGTGGGCGTTTGCTGCGAAGTGGGCGTCTGCTGCGAAGTGGGCGTTTGCTGCGAAGTGGGCGTTTGCTGCGAAGTGGGCGTTTGCAGCGAAGTGGGCGTTTGCTGCGAAGTGGGTGTTTGCTGCGAAGTGGGCGTTTGCAGCGAAGTGGGCGTTTGCTGTGAAGTGGGCGTTTGCAGCGGACTTTACGGTACTAGTGCTCACCTTATGATTATCTTTGATTCCTTCTTTGATTTCTTCTTTTCTGGCATTCTTCATGCACTCTGCACCTCAGCACTCCGAGTCTTCGTAAAATAAAATTCTTGAAGATTTTCGGTGGAAGGTAAAAATCGCTAAAATTAATCGCCGCTAACTGGTCCAGTTTGCTAAAACGCTAAATTTCGCGAAAGTTTGTCGTTTTACAGTACCCAAGACTCCAGGCGGCTATCCGTTGCGATAGGTGGTTGGAGTCACGGGTAGAGACAACCAGACGCTGGATTCCTCGGGGATGCATTCACTGTAAACTTGATGGAAACAGCGCTGGCGGCGTTCACTGGGTCCAGAAGTAAAATTTTCTAAGAACTACCACGTTACAATGGCGACCAGCACGGTGAAGAGACACTACGGGTATGTCAGCTACAACCTAATTATATTCTTTCTACAACGACACCTACCTCTGCCTCAATACCTGACGATCTACTGCAAGCTGATGCGAAAGAGCATTACACCCGCGAACGCCGCGCTTGTCAACGGAACAGGGAAGTGCTTCACTCTCCAAAGTTGAAAAGTATTTGGACTGCTGCTAATCGGGAGAACAAACGACCGCCACGGCGGCAGAACATTCCGCAGCTGTTCACCGACACGATCCGCTTCACCAAACGACTTACGAACGTTTCGTTCTCCGAGTTTTCTGGTGGCAGCAACAAGAATTCCGTCCGCAACGACAGGACGAAAGTCTCTTGCAACTGAAGTCCTGTTGCCACGAAGACAGAGAAGATTCCGCAAGTTATCTCTTCTGCTTCCAGTATTGTAGCTCTCCTGTCCACTGGCATATCTTTCAATCCCAGCGAACGAAAAAAGGATCTGCTTCTCTCTCCAAAACAACGAACAACTAACTAAGGGACCATCGCAAAAGTTCGCAGAAGCCCCCGAAACGAAGACCGTGAGTTTCGGGCCTGACCCCCCTCCCTCCCCCCTCAAACGAAACGACAGTCACAATATGGGCTTCATTATTTCACTTGGATGCTGCACACATAATAATTATTATAATATACTACACAGCAGGGGTTCATAAACCCTATGAACCCCTGCTAGTCCATAAACCACGCGTTTTATGGACTCTTGGTACTAGACTACACACAGTGTACAGGCAGCCAGCTACGCGACACGCGCAGTTGCATGAATGGACTACGCGTCCTGACAAGCGATCTACGCCGGCTGTGATGGCATGCTAATCTATATCAGCTCCTACATGTCGTCAATACTTTTTTGAATTGAAGCCCGGTTTGCGATTTTCGACACGACTCCCTCCCCCCCCCCCCCCCCCCCCAAACGTATGCTCTTCGTTTCAGGGGCTTCTGCAAACTTTTGCGATGGTCCCTAACTTTACTTCGCCAGTGTCCGGGCCGATTGTGTACATAGTGTATGCAGCGCATGCGGCGCACTTTCGCATGACATGACACGCATTTATGTGCAGCACGTTTGTACTTCGGATTTGGCAATTTTTTTCGACAGCAATGGCTTCCTTTAGGAGTTGTCTACCTACGATGTATACTTTGGAAAGCGATATTCCGTACAGAAAGTACCATAAACTCCAGGAAAAGTTGGCCTTTCGATTTTTTGAGCTGGAGGTAAAAAGTGCCTGGCATGGAGGGGTGTACTGCTCAGCTGACAGCCTGGCAGGGAGCGCCTTGTCACCTTGAGGGTTCAGCTGGCAGTGAAAGGGTTAATCAATTCTCTAGAGTACAGAATATAAGAAATCTGCAAGTAGTATTCAATTTCGCCAAACCATTACCTAGGGATAGTGATTTGAAGTGCAACAATTTCGGACTATCGCTATAAACACAAATGAATGGGTGAAATGGGAGAAGCGAGAAAATTTCAAGACGACTGCACAGTACAGTATGGTGTACAGTGCACAAGTACAAAGCCTCGTCACTCGAACTGAGCGGACCGTGCGCATATGGTATTGCTTATAACTTGGTATGCTGGCGCAAAACAATTGCTCATGGAGGAAGACGAAAGGGTCTCAACGCCTGGAAATGTCAAATGGCCAGAAGTTGTTCGACGCTGATGATGATGGCATAGTCTGCGGCACTGCGACCCGACCAGAACAAGCCAAAACTCATCACCTAAAAAAAAAAACGCTTGTCGTATGGAAACGAGACTTTGGGTTTCAAACGCATGAACATCATTCTCTTCTCTCCGACAAAGCAATACACTTGCTGAAATATTCTAGAATTTGACGTAACCACGCCGAAAAACAATGCGAAGTCGGATTCTCCCATCTGAAGTATTGAAACTTGTTTTTCCACAGAATCAGGGTCTGGGTTCGAGGGAGTGAAGTCACAAATGACAATGGGTCCGTTTGATCCTAAAATAGGGGATTCACACTCACGGGGAAACCTGAGGTCACGGGACAAGGTAAAAGTTCAGACCTTCGGTCAACAGAGTGGGGCCGTTCACACCCGTGGTCAGTTTTCCCTTGGCCGTATGTTTGGCAATGGATTTGTGGTGGGGCAATTAAAAAGTAATCTGTACTGCATTTTTGTAGTACGTTCTGCGCACGATTTTCCGATGGGCACTGTCTGAAAATCCAGGTTGCGATGCACCCGTGCAACTACGGGTTCAGAGTTCTCGCCAAAGACAAGATCTACACACGCGCATCGTATAGCCATGGGATTTTTCCCTTAACAAATGCCCTGAGGCCCACGGCCACGGCTTTGCCAATTTTTTCCCGAAAGGTTCTTCCTTTCCCCAGTACCATAGTTTCCATAACAACTTTCCCATAACCGTGGTTTTACCAGTGTGTGCGTGTGAATCCCCTATTAGGTGAACTCAAGGAATACTAGTGATAACCACAAGTGCAAGCATTGTACATGAGAAAACACAACCAGGGGTATTAATAGGCCATTCACACGACGTGTAAACACTTGCACGTGTGTGACCAAGATAACACTGGCAAACCGTGATCCAGTTCACACGGTGCTGGGCAAACTTTACAACCGTCAATGTATCCCTAGTGACCTGAAAATACCGGGAAATGTTAAATTTAAAAATTTCCTTTGTTCAAGCAATGCAAGTATATTGTATCCGAGTAAATATCCTTGGAAACGGTACGATAAAAGTGAGTTTGGACGTCGTGTGAATGGCCTATAAACACCAGTGTGTATAGTGCAGTATCTGGTGAAAAACATGTTCACGGTCAACATGTGTCACTAGTGACAACAAAAACATCTACATGAGTGTGTAATAGTGATAGACATCTCATCAAGTGTACATAAACAAGAGTGCGCAACTCTTACATCTGCTCTGTTCCATGGGGGAGTTATTCGTCCATACAATGCATGCGCAAAACATGCGATGGGCACTGGACCTTCATTGCGAGTCTCTGTTTCGCCGTTTTGAAACCAACAATCTTTCGTACCAGACGATGGCAATTGTGACGAAACGTTGTACGTAAAAGGAATCGGTTCGGTTTGCAGTGCTGTCGGAATGGGTGTGGTAACCGAACTACTCTCTTCAAAATTCTCTCCCTGTTAACCCTCTCAGCGCCACGGGCGACTTTAGTCTCCCAGAATGAGTATGTGTGTACAAATAAATTCGTATCTCCACTTCTACACACAGGAGAGTAACAAACGACCACTCTACGTCTCCAGGAAGACCTTGGCTATCAACTTATCACATCGGTTTGTGTCCGTGAGGATAGACGTCGCCAGAATGCAGGAAACGGACATCGCTCAGGCGCCCTCTCGAGGAAGACTATTTTCGCTGCATTCTCTCTTCACAATGGTCTGCCTGACCTTGATATCTTTTCAGAGAGCCATCGTTTGTAAAGATCTGTGGATATACAGCTGAGCTATATTTGTATTTTTCTGACCCCCTTGGCACTGAATGGGTTAACTAATAGCTTGTTATCAAACCCATAGCGCATTTCAATGAAGCCCATCCAAGCCACTCACGTGCCCACAGACTCATAGTTTCTGCCTTGCACAGTATTACAGTCAGACCTCGCATAACCGCACACATCCGTTTTCCACAAAAATATCCGGATAGGCGAGGGAACCGGATAATCAAACACGCACACTGTATGTATGCATGGCATATGCTGTAAATCGGTAACCAACGATTTTCATCCGGATGTCGAGGGATCCAGATAAAAGAGGACCGGATAAGCAAGGTCTGCCTGTACTAAACAGTACAGCATGTGCAGTGCAGAATCAGGTGGAACACATGTTCACGATCAACATGTGTAAATATTCACAATGTGAACGGCAACATGAGGGGTGTGATGGTGCCAAACATCCCATCAAGAGTACATACCCCCCCCCCCCCCCCCCCCCCCCCCCCAGAGTGTGCAACTGGAATGGGGTTGTGGGACGGTGTAATCCGTGATCTACGTCATTTTTTGGGTCAGACTTGCCTCATTCCATCGCGGCGGTGCACCACGTCCCCACTTCCCCTACTTATGATGTCATTATTATGACGTGCAACACGGATTTCGCCGTCCCAGATCTGATAAGTGAACTTGCGCACTCTGGGGGGGGGGGGGGGGTTATGTACTCCTGATCTCATGGATAGCTGTACAAATGTAGGACATGGCGGTGGTAGGTACACCTCACGTGACTCACGTGACACCTAATCACTGCATAGTTCAACCAATCAAATGAACGACACGCTGTAATGAATACTGTATACACACAGTACATCTAAATTCACTCACTCACAGTCAAGTCTATTCAACATAC